AGTGAAGAGAAAAATGGGGAAAGATTTCCCTAAATTACCTATGAGTGATAAAATTATCTCTCAACTGCTAGTTGAGAAATTATATTGAAATAAATTTATTAGGGATTCTCTGGTGCTTTATTTTTAGGGACTACATGCCCCAGTTTCAGATAAAAGTTTTGACTACCTTAGTAGCCATCATCTTTTGCTCTACAATTCTCCACCTCTCCCTCAACTCCCTGTTATCACACTCATAATTTCTACTAAATAAGACCTCTCATCCATTACCATTCATTTTGTGGTTTTGAAGTAACAGTGAGAATGCTTCTTTCCAGAGAGAAATGAACTATATAAACTGCTGGATATTTCACTTCTAATACCCCTAATGTCGTCTCCTCAGCTAAGTCTTCCTTTTAAATTCCCAAAGCTCTTCTGGTCCTTCTCACATTGTCATTCTCCAGTTATGTTTCAAGTAAATACTAGTTGGATTTCCCAAGAAGGTAAATGTCAATCTTGGACAACTTTCTTGTGGACAGGAATGGTATCCTATACTACCCTACACTTTCATATCTTCTGCCATGTCTAGCACAGAACTGGTCATATTTGAGATGATCAGATTTGATTTGACATTTGATTGACAGATTTATTGATTGGCTGAATCTCTGTGGTAGAGAGTACACCAGAAAAATTGTGTATTTCAATTTTCTCTGGTTCTGGGCTTGGTAGATAAATGGTCTAAGCTTAGTTGCAATAGAATTCTGAATAGAGGGAAAGAAGGATTCTAAGAAACAGAACTGGAAGTTATGTGTTCCAATTTATAATGAAAATAGTTTTATCTTATTTTACAACTTCATAGAGCTTAATGTAAATTTGGGTATCTCCTTACTTTTAGACATAAAACAACACAAATAACATTTATTGCAAAGATATAGAAAAATTGTACACTTTTTCTCATATACACATATATTTGAAGACACACAAACACACACACTTCTATGTACCAAATTGTTGGCACTTTGCCAGATCAATTAATTTAACTTAAGTCAAAGATCTAGTATTATATATTTAGGTTGTCATTCAAGTGGTACAGATTTTTCTGCTTGCATTTAGAATGAATTTAGTACCACTAGTTTTCCATTGAATGAACAAGAGCTAACTGAGGGTATCCAAGAAGAAACCTTCATAGATAATTGGCTAGCTCGGGGAGCTAGTGTAGCAAAACATGATTCCAGATTGAATCTAATTCTGGAGTTCTCCTTAAGAGAAGGACTAAAGCATGGGGAAAAACAAACTCACATGACAATAAAAGAATGACTTGTATTTTAAGTATTATCATTGTTAATTTTCCCTGATATACAAATGTCTTTCTGAATATTCTTAGGAAACCTTGGTTTTTACTTTTAACATTTTATGAAGTAAAACAAGGGAAAATATTTCTGTTAATTGGAATGAAAATATAAAGTAATCAGCATTTTCTTTACCCTTTTTTATTTTTTAATTTTGAAAAACATTTCGCTTAATGGAAATTTTTATAGACTTGTCACCATGGTATTTTGGATAAGGAAGTTCTAGAGAGAAATTATGTATTTATTTTTATGAGAAGGACTGGGGTGTGGACCAAAGGTATGGGGGGTGAGAAGATTCGCCAGAGACAGAGTGGGGAGCAGAACAGGCAGATCTACTGAAATACTGAGGGGAGCAGTGGGCGAAACAGGAGAGGTCTGCTGCACTGTATGAGGGTTAGCTCCTGGCCAGAGATTGAACTCAAGCTCCAGTGCTGATAGAGCTGAGACTTAACCCTTGGGCCACAGGGCCCAGGGAGGCTCCCTATAGAGAAATTTATTTACCTCTTATGAAATTTAAATACATCACTGACAACATCAGAGATTAAAATGAGTGCTTGGTCCAAACAAATATGGTATTTGATAGTAGAAGGTGAAATAAATTGCATGTAGTCAATCAAACAATACCTTTTATGAGATGTTTGACTGCTATCCTAAGATTAAAATTGGTCCTTTATCATCTACCCCAGTTACATCTATGTATGTGTGTATTTATTTATTTATTTCTCATCACAATCTGTCTGTATTTCTATCCGTGCATTATGTTCAACAGTCATATTTATGCATGTTTTATTGTGCTCAGGTAGCTATTGTGTATTTAAAGGCACACAGTATCATAGTTTAAAACACAGTGATACCATCTACAAACACCAAATGCTCTGTGAATACAAGGATATTTATCATGAATTATGCTGCTGGTCTATATCATATGTTGTCTACCTTATAAAATCTGTGTTTCTGGTTTGCAATCCTAAGGCTATATAGCGCTAAGATTAACTCACGGTGACTTTTTTCTCTTTCTGTGCTCTACCACATGTGTACATAGCTCCCTTTTTGGGCCAGATCCCTTTTCCTTTGAGGATACAGCCTTACATGTTATGGATTTTTCCCATTACTTTAGTAGAATGAATTGTATATAATGTGTGTATATTGTGTCTTTGATAAATGAATGAATCATTCATGTTTGATTTCAATGGGTGGGATGAGACTGAAATATCAGTTTTATATAGTCATTTCTATTTATTCTATAGGTTTTCTAATGCTACTAATTTAGTGCAGTTTGAATATTTGATGCAATTGCCTGTTTTATGCAGCAATGAGTTTCTACCTTTTCCTAGACAAACCCAATATTTAGTTTTATTGTATTGGCCAAAGATTAGAGACAACCCAGGACCTTCAGAGGATTGCAGACTCCCATTCAATAAATGTCTGCAAGTGTTGTCCTTAAAAGTGCAGGGCTCATGTTGACAATCCTTGCTCCAGTGTCTTCCCCTTCACCACATTCATCCAACCTCATATTTTAAAAAATGAAGCAGAACCCAAATGACCTACCCTATGCTGTGAACATATAACTGAAGTTCCTCTCTCACTTTGTGCATTTGGAAACTAGTCTTAGAACACTGGAGATGATGGCAATGGAAAAAGTAAAAGTTCTGCTGATTAGAGTAACTTAGCCATATATAAAAAATAATTTGAGATATTATCTTTAAGATGTTAAATAACAGTAATGTTAACCACAGAATAACCTTTCCTTAGGCAAAATGACTAACTGGGTAACTTTCTATTGTATATGAAAAGTACTTTGGATGTATAAATAAACACATCAATGAAAACAGTGTATTAAAAGGCATTGCTGTGTAAAGGCACATACGGACTTGGAGCATAAAATCAGTCATGATTCATGTTTCTTTTTCATTTTCAAAGATGACTGTAGGAGTAGAACAGAATTTTCTAGTTCTCCTGTTTAAAGAAAAATCATGGGCAAGTTTGGGCTTGTATTTGGGCAAAGTGACTTGCTAGATGGCATAATTAGAAATATTTTTATTAAGGAAGCATTGTCATCTTATAGATAATAAATGATGATTAATGAGAATTTATTTTCTTTTCACCTTTGACACACTTCTCAAAAATAGAATCTTTGCATGATACCCTGTCATGAGCCAAAGCTATACAAACTGGCATAAATTCTCTTCTACCATGTGCTCCCCAGTGGGGTAAGAGTTGCCCTGATTAGGTGGATCCAAAAGCTAGGATAGAAAACTTTAAAACAAACACACACACACACATACACACACACACACACACAGAGTGCCATAGGTATGCTGTTTCTTTCCAGCTCTAAACAATTTATGCTGCCGCTTTATAAAATACAGATATCCCTTTCTTCTCTTTCCTGACACCATTACATCACCATCAAATCAGGTACCAGGTTTTGTTGAGGATAAGAAAATCAGTAATTAGGGGCCTCCCTGGTGGCGCAAAGGGTTTAGATGCAACCTATGAAGCTGTCTGCAGGCTCTGCAGCACAAGTTCGATCCCTGCCAGGGAGATACCCGCATGGCACAGCAGACCTCTCCTGACTCACCCGCTGTTCCCCTCAGCAGTGTATTTCAGTCAGTCTGCCTGTTCTGTTCCCCACTCTGTCTCTGGTGAATCCTCTCACCTCCCCACACCTCTGGCCTATACCCCAGCTCTTGTATGCATAAATAAATAAATATTTTAAAGAAAAGTAAAAGAAAATCAGTAATTAAATTGTCCTAACAAAAACAAGAAATGCCACACATTGCTTAGGAATAATTAGTACCACTATCTGAATGTTGGTATTTCAAAACACATTTCTTATTATTTTGGTAAACCCTGATCAAAAGTCTGAATTTCCAGTGACTTAGAAACCTACCTGGGCACCTTAACCTCTTGTTGGAGGTTCTTGAAGGAAACATCTTGCAGGGAAAATAAGTTAATATACAGCAGCACAGAAAAGCCAATTGGCTACTGGAAAAGACAACTCAATACCTCCTGTTTTAAGAATGCACAAGTAACTTATAATCAGTGAGGCATACAAGGAAAATTAGCAGCATTAACATGACAAAATAAAGAACAAACAATGTCAGTGGAAAAGGAAATAATTCATGGAAGAGTAGAAATTTGAAAAAAAATCTCTTTAGTATTCTCAAAGAGATTTGAAGGATGTTATTAAAAATCAGTAAGATAAAGTCATGGAAATAAACATAAATATAAATAAATAGGACAAAGACATGGAAAATATGTCATAAATATAGAAGACATAGGAAGACAATCTCAGATCCCATTTCCAAATATGAGGTTTGGAAAGACATAATAGAAAACATAAAGGAAGAAATATGCCAAATAAAACACAGGAAAATTTTGCCTTCCTGAAAAAAAGACATGACTCTCCAGAACATTTTAATCTTCCCAAACTAAAACTATACCCACTACACAACAACTCCTTATTGACCCCCTCTCCTCAGCCCCTGGCCACACAATTCTACTTTATGTCTCTATGAATGTCTTTATTCTAAATATCTCATAGAAATAGTATCATATAATATTGTCCTTTTGTGTCTGGGTTATTCCATTTAGCACAATGTCTTTGAGTATCTTCCATGATGTAGCAAGTGTTAAAGTTTCATTCTTTTTTAAGGCTGAATAATATTCCACAAATATATGGAAAGCTTCACAAAAGTGTATGCCATCCTTGAGTAGAGACCATGCTAGTCTCTATATAACTTCAATTTTAGTATGTGAGCTGCTGGTGCAAGTGCTGAGGATTTAACCAATTGAAAAACATGAAATACTTACTAATGAAGGGGTCATATTTGTGAGCTAGAGCTTCAAACTCAATTCATAAACCATGTATAAATTTTATAAATTAAAAAAATAGTTATATCAGCCCCTTGCATAGAACTGTGGATGTAATGTTAAAGAGGCAACATCTTAAAAAAGACAAGTGGTTACTTCCTGAGCAGGATCTACTTCATCAGAAAGGCTGAAGAAATTTTTATTTTAAAGTGTTCTGTATTACTGGTTTTATTATACATATATATAGTATATTATATTATGTAATAGATTGCATATGATATAATAAATCAGTATAATAAATCAATGTGTGTGTTTGTATTGTGTGTGTATCCAACATCAAAATTGTCTGCAACCACTGCACTACTTATTGACTGGAACTGTAACTTAGAGCTCACAACATTTAACAGTGTCTACATTTAATTGCAAAAATTTTACTCCCAAGACACTTTCTTGAAGACCTTTATTGTCATCAAGATCAGTGAGCCACATGAAAAAGATCAGTAAGCCACAAGTGGAAAGTCATAGAGAGCCTAAAGCCCAAAGACTCCCTTTTTTCTTTATCTTCATATTTGACTCCTTTTGTTACTGATATTATTCCTTATACATAATATTACCTTATTATACTAACTGCCATGACTACTGTCATTGTCATTTAATGGGAATAGTGTAGTAGTTGGAAAGATGAACAAGTTTTGGAGATGAATGGTGGTGATAGTTGCACAATAACTTCCTCTTCTTTTGGCACCCTGGAATGTATGAGAGTTTATTCTAAACATATAAGCTTACTTCCCTATCTATTTCCAGAGTTGTCTCAAAGATCTGTTCTTATCAGTACAAAATCCATCCATATCAGCATTAGAAATTTGTTTGTGTATTTTTTTAATTCAGTTTTTTAATTGCAGTCACATTGATTTACAACGCTGTATATGATTTAGAGGTACCAGATCATATCTTTCAGATGTATGTTATAACTTTCAGATAAAGGCTTCAACAGCTAGTACCTTTTGTAGTAGCCCTGACTTCCACTCAAGTAGTAGGGAGAATACATCTGCATCTCTAGATTTGTGAGTTTCCTTGGCCACCTAAAGACAGTCACACCTAGTTCTCATTTCTCTTTGTAACTAACGTGAAAGGCTCAATTCCCCTTAGCAATATTCCCTCTGTCAGAAACTTGAATGCACAGCAATTATATACTTTGTGTGTAATTATATGCGTTCTATGTAGTTTACACTTGGAGCAGCTGAGATGGCAGCACATATATCCCAAATTTCAACAAATAGTAGGAGATGTAGCTTTATGTCCATAAATCCAGTAGGAAATAATTTAAACTAAGTTCCATGTTCAGTTTTACAAAGAAAATAGTGATGCATGTTCAAGTAAAAATAATCTTTGTAATCTAAAAATCACAATAGTGTCTTTTCATTTTCCATATTCAATTTCCTTAAAGTTTTGTATTTGATGTTCTTCTGGTATCAGATAACATTTTTTGCTATTAATAACCTCTACAGATTGAGAAACTTGATTTGGAGAAGTGATGAAGGGTGATAGCAGAGTCTTCTATATGCTGTACTTGTCAAACCACATTTTCAGTATCATTTCCAGTTCAAGTTTCTACACATTAAGGAAAGATGGTAGAAACTCATAAAAGAAAATCAAACATAATTATGTAACTGAAAATCATATTAATAAAGGAATGCTTAAGGGTGTTGGGATATGCAACACAAAACAAAAAGCAGTGAGGAAAGATGCATTTTTGAATGTGTAAAATAAGGAATTAGAAGCATTTTTGTGGATCCCACATGCAGATGCGCATGAGTTTGTGTTCTGCAATCAAAAAGAATTGGGCTCACATTCTAATACTCCATGTATTCATTGTGCAAACCTTGACAAGGCCTCTCAAGTACTTTACAGTTTCAATTTATTATCCTGTTAAATAGAGGCAAATAATCATGTCTATTTATAGCATAAGATTTTTGTGAAAATAAATAAAAATATGAAGTCATGCAAATTTTTATGTGCCCAGTATACACACACACACACACAAACACACACACACATATATATATATATATATATATATATATATATATATATATATAAACATTCTGAAACATTCTGTTACACCTTGCCATCGTCATCATTATTACTAGTAGTGTAGGGAACTCAGTCTGAGGGGGTAGGGGGAAACAAATATTGTTTTAAAAAATAAAAAAATACTGGTAGTGTAACAAACATTAATTTTATTCAAAAAAAGAAGAAAATACTAATGAGTGAATATATACTAGATCAATACAAGGGTGATTTTCTTAACAAATGAAGCAACTAACCTTGGGAAGGAGAGTTCAATGAAATAATGAGCTTCCAATGGCCATCTCACAGGAATTCTGTAATTAAAAGGAGTTCCTGCATTAAAAGGAAACTATACCTGCTGATCATTAAGTTCTCTTTTATTTTTTAGGTATAATGCAATGATTAAGTTCATGCAGCTCATTAGTAACCAATAAGTTTGGAGGTGTTGATGTGGTTCCCAAACTTTTCTTCCTTCTAGTTAATAAAGACAGAGGCTGACCAGGGACTTTCCTGTTACTGTCTCTGCATAGCATTCTAAGTGAAGCTGTTTTTTGAACCCTATGTGCTGGCAGGTCTCACTCTCCTGTTCTTTTTTCATCATGAAAGACTTAGGAAGCAGAGACTGCCTGTTCATTCCTTCCACTCCCCCAAGAAAATGACAAAATGACATTCTTTCCCACTCTCTGTGAAATGATTTCTGTTAACAGCTCTGGAAAAATGCTGCAAAGATGTGAGTGAAATGATGGCAGGATTTGTTGACAAGAAGGCAAAATGAGGGAATTAAAAAAAAATCATCCACATTAGAGACTCTGAGGGGCCTGTGGGTTCCATCTGCTCCTCTCTACCCTGGCCTGAGGGAGTTTCAGAATCATCCCCAGGGGATCATCACTCTTCTTTTTGAATGACTCAATCAGTGGGGCTTCTAATAGTTTAATAGATTTTACTATTAGCAGTTTATTTTTGAAGTTCAGTTTAAAGTATTCCTTTAATTTAACCTATTTTTCTTTATTAGTGGATGTCAGTAATTTTGAAACAAAAGAAGGCATGCAAATTTGAAAAGATTCATTGTTGAAATTTCTGCTTAAAATATCTCATTTTTGCAACAACGCAGAGTGTAATTACTATTCAATCATCCTCTGGAGAAAGGAAAGATTACCCAGGACCCCACTTTGTCCTACAAGGATGTTTCTACCTCTAAATCTGTGATAAGATGGTTTCAAAGAAAGGGTATGTGCCCAGCCAAATCAGGCCACATGTCTGTGTGCTCAATGTCAATCTGTTGGGATGTACCTTTAGACATTTCTAGACTTTTTTTTAAACTAAAAGATCTCATATCTGTGTGAGAGAATGAATGAAAAGAATATGACCCTGAAGGAGAGAATGAATGAACTATTGACAGAATAAATGAAAAGAATATGACCTAAGGGAACAGTATAAGGAGAGATAAGTGCAAGTTTGGGAGTTAATGACTTGGAGGTCCTAGAAGTGCCACCAGCATTGTCTTAGACAATTTACTCATTTCTCAAATCCTCAATTTTTCCCTATAAAATGGTCACAATAATCTATACTTTACAGAACAGTTCCAAGGCAATTTTTTATACATTCCTAGCATAGCACAAGGCAGAAATCCAGCACTCAATAAAGATTACAAATAATCACTGTCCCCTTAGTATGAATAGGATTATTATAGATATAGGTGTGAGATTTTGGAAAGATTCACTGAAAACTTTTCAAGATGACTCAAAGCAGGCAATAAGAGATGTGATATAATTAATTGTGAATCCACATGAAACCGAGCAAAGGGAGTTCATTTAGGACTAAAGTGATAAGGGGGGATAAAAGAAAGTCTCATTTTTGATATTCAAGAATAGGAGGGCAAAGGATATGTCATTACAGGCCAAGAAACATATGCAGCTTTAGTTTGGCATGAACTATTCAAGGAGCAATGTACAAGTTGTCCAAATTAATCAGAGGGCAATATTGGAGAATGAGTGGATAGAAAGATGGCATAGGTGGGGGAAGGGCCAAAACAGGGAGAATAGGAGATGTCAGCAGGCAAGTTGAATTATTCCTTTTTAAAGTGCTCATACTCCCTGTAAAGAAGCCTTGTCATTAGTGTATATCTCCAGTATACAGATGTGTCATCACCTTTCATCTTAGTCATGAAAGGCAATATGTTTCCAGATTTGGGATCAGGAAATCTAAGTTAAGAGTTTTGCTCAAACAAGCCTGAGAAAGAGAGTTAACTTTACAAATTATCTAATCTCTCTCTGTCTCAATTTTTCACCTGTGAAATGGGCACAGTGCTAATGCACACCCTATGAGGTTTAAATAAGGTCTTGTCAGATATACAAAGTGTCATGTACAGTTCTGGGCATAAAGGAAACACTCAGGTACTGATTTAATAATAATACACCAAATAACCCTAAATCCCTGGATGGAGCCACTCTTTTTTAATGTGCCCATCTCTGACAGAACTCCATGAGTAACTCATAAACTAACACTAGTAAAATCCTCTAACAGAATGAAGAGTGAGTGACTATTGATTGTAGCACATATGGAGACAGAATGTGATGGTAGGACTGACTTTCAGGATTTCCCTGTGAAATCAGGGTTTTGAAGTCTTAGTACACAAAACAGATACTTAGCAAAATTTGAAATTAAATAAATTAACAGAGAAAACAGTACTAGATGCACAACCTTGTGTAGGGGTTCACGGTACTACTGTGGTCATTGAGAGTTCATATAAAATATTATTTGAACAAAAAGGGTGCCAATTACCTTTTTTACCACCATTCTGGCTTGTACTTTCTGATAATAATCTAACCCCTTTGTTGCCAACCTAGACAGAGTTCATCTTTCCCAATATATTTCCCTTCCTTCCATTCAGCAA